CTTCCTGCTGCCTGCACTGGAACACCCTGTGCCCAGCTCCCTTGTTAGCTGCTCCAGCTCCAGGAGGCATCTATGCCCAGAGTCCTCTGAAGACAGAGGTGTTTTTTGGGTTGTTTTTAATCTGTTTTTAAAAAGCATTTTAGCCTAGATCTTACTAACCTTCTGCACAGGATTGGAGAACCTGGAGTTTACCAAGGACACGAAGAAAAGCCTTTGGGAGCTTCAGGAGGCAAAAAGCCCGTGCTGCCTCTGACACTTCTAGAAAGTAAAGTGGGTGTAAAAATTTGACAGTAAGCCAGAAGAAGCCATTAGCAAAATACAGGTCTCAAGCAGGCCCTCCACCCCACGCAGCTCAGTAGAAAATTAAATACCCTTCCCGTGTAAAAGATTATTTACAGACTGCTTCTGCAATGAGCAGACCCCAAGAGGCACTGCCATAATCCCATGCTGCTTGCAGTGACACTGCCTTCCCATTAGCTTAACTGTTAAAACATTAGTAGAGAAAAATAGTGTGAAAAGGACTGGTCGTTAGGCTCAGAGAGACTGAGTCACCTAAATCTCTTTTCCTGTTTAAACAGAGCTCAGTTTTTAATCATATAAATGTCTAAAAGAAAGAAAAAATGCAGTTTTTCTACTTTTGGTAGTTCTGGAAATCAGTAAACATCTCTCTGCTGTTGCTTCAGAAAACAGTCTATTGTCTTACTAGTAAAAACGAGGTACATGAGGAGGAGTTTGGGCACACAAAACACATACACGTTGGCAAAACATATAGCTCAATACGCTATGTTTAAAAATAGCAGACATTAACTTTGTCCACAAAATATATCAGACCGCACTTGATCGTTAACAAAATAACTGATCAGAGAAGCTGCAGCACTTGAAGGTTCTTCCAGGTGCTGCTCTGCCCTTGCGAGTTCACTTGCAGATTATTCCACCCGAATCTGTGACGCGTGCAAGGTAATTGCCGTGAACAGAGAGGTAAGAGGCATCCCAGGTTCTCTTGATGCACATGTTCTGCTGTTGTTTTTCAGCATTAAGATCAGTCAGGCTGATGCTCAGGTCATTTTCAATTCATCAAAGCCACAAAATTTCCATCTTTTTTCAAGGCTTGCCCCAACCCCACTCAGCTCCTGTTTAAAGGTGTGTTGGAGACGGGTCATGAGAACTTCCACTTCTGTGGTGCAGATCTGTGAAAAAGAAGGGAAATTTTTGTTGAGCATCAACAGATTCTTGTCCAGAGAAGCCTTGCAATGACTGCTTCTATTCAAGCTCAAGAGGCATTTAATCACTAAAGCATATGGAGGCTTTCCCTAGACATTATCCAAATACTAATAGGGATATTGTTGGGTGCAGCACGTGCTGTGTTGTTGCCTTTGGCGTGAGCTGGCTGCAGACACAAACAGGACTTGGCAAGACTGCAGAGGCAGTGCAAACCTGCAGCTCAGCTGCCTGCGACTGTTTTACTGCACCAGGAAAACTGGTTATTTACTTCACCGCAAGGAGTGAAGATCATCTCTGCTGTGGATTTCAGACTGCTTTGATACAGTCAGAGCTATCTCTGCATAACAGCCTCATACACCTGCAGCTCAAACAAAGCACTAAGATATATTTCAGGGAAAGAAGTAAGCATGTTTTCCAAGATTGCGGGGCAGTTTCACATCATTTGTCCATGTTCTGTTGATCTACCACAGCTACAGGTTCCAGGTTTTGTTCTCTTTACAATTTGTGGAGTTTGTGGCTCTGTGATTGCACTACCATGATTTTCCAGGTGCTGTGGAGCTGGGGTTTGCATCACCCGTGTGCCTCAGCAGTGCTCCCTCTTGCTGCCATTCTTATTTCTCTGCCACAGTGGATTCAGTTTGACCACTCTGGAACTTCAAGTCTGATTCCACTGAATGCTCCCTAATGCAAAGCATAACTGGGTTTTCAAGGAGATGATCTTGGGTCATTTCTCCTGCCATCTTTCCAAACTCATATTTGACTCCAGCCTTCTCAAAGAAGCAATACTCTTTCCAGGACATGTGCAAAAACATGCGATGAAGATCACCACCAACTTTGCAGAATGACTTTGGGTTTGGCAGGTGCAAATTTGTAATCACCTCTTTTGTCAACACAGACCACACATTAACAGAAACAGAGAAACAGCACGAGCTCAGTGTGGTAATGGGTTTTTAAGTCCAGGCTTGCCTAAGACACCAACCAGAGGGTGGTTTTTTTTCAGAGGTGGTTTGCTGCCAAGCATGATGTAGAAGTGCCTTCATACACTGCAGATGCCAACAATGAGGTGTGAGAAGTCAGATGAAAGATAAGAAAGCTCCAAAGAAAAACAAAGGCAGCTCTTTGCCTCTTAAACAAATTCAAAGCTAATATGAAAAGTATTATATCCATCTTTAATTTAAAGACCTAGAGGGAGTTTGGAAAAATGCAGGCCAGCAAGTCTTACTTTCTTAGAACGGGGAAAATAAAGCAGGAAGCTATAAACAAAACTGGCTGAAAAAAAATCCAGTCCTAACAGATGATTCCTATAAATAAAAATCTCCTTCTTGGAACCAAAGAATAGTAGAGTAGATGTAATTAGCCTTTGAAACTTTCCCAAACCTTTGCAAGTTCCCTATCTACTCTCATAAGCAGTCAAAAGCCATCAGTACACAGATGCACTGCAGAAAGCAAGTCCTTACTATTAAATAAAAAACACAAGGGCTCTTTTTACTATTGCCCTCCTGACCCTGCCCAGCAAGTGCTTGATTCCTCCACTTGGTCTGCTCTGGAGCCCAAGCCCAGACCTCAGTGGCAGGGATTGCAATCCAACGCTTAGGCCATAGGCTAAAGCAGTATAAATGCCTTTGCACGGCATCTTCCTAAAAACAGCTTCACACTATCAAAGCAGAAAAAGAAAAGGCTACATAAAGAGAAAATGTGAAAAAAATGCTGTGCATAGAGGCAAAAATAACCATGGTGACTGTTCAGTTTAGAAATAAAATACACAAACAGTGGCAGAGCAAATGCTATGAAATAATAAACAGCACAAACAAGGCTAAAATTAAACTGTGTAAGGGCCAAGCCAGAAGCTGGAAGGAAAGTTCAGCCTCCTTCTTGCTCCCTTCCAGTAAATTCTTTCACAGTTAAGAACATATCCTGACCCATTTTGCTCTTAAAAATGGAAGTATCAGCCTCTACCTTACTGTCCAGCCGCTGCAGGTAGGAACAGATATACTCTATGCTGGCTCCAAATGGGTGTACGTGAAGAAATGTTGAAATTATTCCTGGGGAAAGAACAACACAAGCATAATTTTGTATTTCTCCCCATCACCTGCAGGATCCCATGATCTTGCCCCAAAGCCTCCTCTCTGTCCATGCAGACACCAGCCTATGATCCCGCACAAACAGATCCGCTGGACAGCGGTAAAAGATTTCTGGGTACTCTCAAACCAAAGGAAGAGGGATATCTAAGGGGAACTGTGCTGAGCAACAAGGAACCAAAGAAACTGTCTCTTTCCCACAATACAAGAATTTTTGCCACCCCTTTTCATCCTTTCAGAAGACCTGTCCAGGGCCAAAGCCTTGGACTAAAGGCTTAACTTTAGACCCAGTGTATATAGTTCTGGGGACAGGATGTGCTCTAGAATGACCAGGCGAATGGCTGGTCGACAGCATTCGCTCCTTGATTTAGGCTGCTTGTTTTGACACTTTGTGTGAAGTTCGTAGCACACAGTGTTGGGCTATTTTTCATCATTACTAGAAATAACGAGTGGGAAAAGAGATAGGAGAGGTGATACTGGTGGTGGTACAGAGCTACAAAGGATTGGTGCCCTAAGCATTCCTTGAAATGTTTCACATTTCACTGAGCCAGGCCAGGCCCCCTTCTCTCTGCCACCTTTCTCAATGCTTTCTTTTCGTGGCTACAGCTTCTAAATCTGAGACAGCTTATCCACTGGGTGCTGGGGCCCTCATATAATATGGTCTTACCAACTAATAGAGCTTCGCGTTCAGATTTCACAGGAGTATTGCTCAATATCTTCTCAGCTGGACATTCCTTTTCCTGACTGCACGCACAAATCCTGGATGTACTGCTCTCCTACAAAAAAAAAAAAAAAAGGGTCCAAAGAGGGTCCAGAGTCTATGTTTTTGTTTCTGAGCTCCTATGAGTCACTGCATTCACTGCACCCTATTATTTATTTTGCAAAAGGCCACTGCCAAAGCACAATGGATGTTCGTGTTGCTGTTGGAGCATCGCTGAATACCAAACTCCATGAAAGCCTGTGAAGTTCAGTAAGATGCCACCACATACACTCCATCTTTCCTGGCTCACTGCTATGGTGTCTGCTCTACAAGGCTCTCTCCATTTTACCAGCTTTATAAAGACAGCTTAGCAGTGACCAACTGAGAGATGTTTATTTTCCAGGAGTCTAGAGTGCAGCAATACGATTAATCCAGTGCCCACTGACTGCAAACAGTTTCGGATCTGACTGTCCTTTACTTTAGCATGTGGTACAGTATTAAAACAAAATGTTAGCTAATTTACTAATCCCCAAATAAATGCATGACTACCAGTGAATCAAAGACATGATCCTTGCAATAAAAGCATGATTTATTTTTTTCCTAATTCCTAAGCCATATCCTGATTTCCAGTAGTCTGAGAGCTACTGACATCTATAATTGGAAACAGCCTCCAGACACTAATGAAATGGACTGGAGCTGGGCCAATTACAAAGATAGAATGAAATGGTCCTCTGAGCTTGTTTTGCTTCTATGCCAGTACAATTTTGAATTACACAGCACTGAAACTGTATAGTCCTGGATTAAGTAGAGTACAGCTTGTTTCTGTAGGAAGAACAAGGTTCTGCACTCTGAGAAAGCAGAGTTAGCTTCAAACAGACACAAGGACAGCAATTCAGTCAGCAGTGTTTTATTGGAAAGGCACTTCCCACTTCTTTTCTTGGAGATTCAACAGTTATACTTGAAGGCTGGCTGAAATAACAGCACAAGTTATCTGTCCCACCAAAGGCCATTTCTATACCATCAGGGTTGCACGTATTTGCTGTTCTTCAAGCCAGAAGTTGATAGCAATGGATAACTGAATGCTTTGAGCTTGTACAATTACATACAGTCTGTACGTACCATGCTTTTATCCTTCACAACAAATTAGACTAAGGAATAACTCACATTACCATGAGGTGTCACTACTTCCTTCAGCAAAATGTTTCAAATGAAGTAGCAGAAAAAAAACTTTTTGACTTACATTCCCTTGACCATCAGTCGCATCTCTCTCCTTGTCCTCTTCATCTGCTAGACTTTGCTGTGTACAGAGGAAGAAAAGGAAAAGATTACCAATGAAATATATATAAAAAAATTCTACATGTTTTTGTCAGTTCCCTGACATATCCAACATTAAAGCAAAGAAGTATTATACTACTAAAAAAACTTTAAATTCATTAAAGCTTTACGGGTGACAGATCAAAACATGTCTTTAAAATGCAAATGTGAAAGCAATGTTTGATAACCAAGACTATGCTTCCATCCTTCATTTAAAGGATGGAAAAAATGTAATGAGGCATACAGGGGAAAGAAAAAAAAAAAAAAAGAACACACACAAAACATTTTACCAGCAGTACCATCTCACTGTAACAATAAAGCAATTGGCAAGTTCACTATTCATGTAAATCCTTCAATTAAGCATGTAATTTTTTCTCTCTTTCCAAGGACCACTGCTTCTTAGTCAAGGCTGGGTATCTTCTATTCTTCTGTCTTTCACTGCTCTAACGATGAGCTACGAAATTCAAGGACTGCATTTACTGGTGAGAATAAGGATGCCCTGAGATTGCACATACCTGCTCCTTAAGGTTTTCTAATAATGTTTCTATTTTTAGTTTGTCTTCTCGCACTTTTTCTAGCTCAGCTTCTCTCTTTTTATATTCATCTTGCACTTTCAAAAGATGCTGCAAGAGAAGAGTTAAACACAGTTCACATCCCATCTTTCACATTTCACTGTTTAAAGAAAACAAACTGAGTTACTGCTCTGCCATGAAGACCAGTCAGATCACATTCAAAACAATTAAATCGTTATGTATGTAAAAGGAAGAAATCTTTTCTGCAAACCACCTTGGGATATTTTTTGCCTTACTTTATGTAAAACAAACAAACAAACAAAAAAAACCAAACAACAACACAATCACACAGTTTTGGTTGGGAGAAAAAAAGAGATACGGGACAGTAATTCCATGATCACCAAACCACGGGTACCCCTGAAATAAAACACGAGTTAGGCACTCATCCTTGTTAAGCAAGATGTTCCTCTTCTGCAGTCTGGTTCCCTCTATGGCTGTACAGAACAGTCAGCAAATGGTATGAAGTAGCACAGACACAAACAAGGGACCTGGAAAAGCTGCCATAAGGTCTTCTGCAAACTCTTGTGCCGTGTTAGGACCAAATTGCCTTACGATTTAAGAAAATATTCCAAAACAGCTAGTAGATGGGAAAATCTGTGCTGTAATTTGCACATTACCACATAGCAGAGCTGTGATGACTGCTCCCACACCCTGAGCATCAGCTTAGTGATGCAGGATGCTCACAACAAACACCCACAAGCTGTGCACGACTTTGGCTAGCAAAGCTAAGGAGAAGGACTAGGTGGTGAATCAGAAATGTCACTTTCGAGATGAGCTGAAGAAATTTCTCAAGCCCAACCTACTGTCCATGAAGACTCCAAAGTGTAGTTATGCATGTCGACAGCCTGCTTTGGGAGCGAACTTGTACTTTGGGATGGTTACAGTGGGATAAAAGTAAATCTTACCCAGCTGACACCTACCAAAAGGAAAATCTTATGTCCTGCTATTCTGCCAGTTCCTTCCTCCCAGGAAGCAGACCATGACCTACCTGCTGCATTCCCTGCAAAGCCTGCTGCAGGAGCTTCAGCTGCTGCTCCTTAGTTGTGTCTTCATCTCTGCTTGCTTTGCCCTGCTCTTGCTTTAGCAGTTCTACTTCATTCCGGTAGGCATCCAGCTGCCAGCGCAGACTGTCATTTTCTTCTTTCAGGGCTTCCACCTGTGATACCAGTGCTGGAGAACAAGGCAGGTAGGGATGAAAGGTCAGAGAGCTGTGATTAAGATCTCCCTCTGCACTTCACCCCAAGGAACAATGGGCCAACTACTCCATGGCTCCCAAATCCCAGCTGCAAACCCAAGGCACTCCTAGGAATTTCTCCCAACCACTGTTTGTGGCACCTCTTTAGTGCACAAGCTCTTCTGAGCAAAGACCATATCTCAGCAATAAAAGCAGCCAGGACCAAGCAGGTTCCCAAACCAGCAAAGCTGATGGACTTCAGGACAGGTTTTTACTGCCCTCCTCAGCCAGAAGAGCATCTCCAATAGATCAAATCAGATGAACATGTATCCACTTGTTTGGTGGTCACACAGGGCTTAAATTTATGAATGGGATTCTATCACATTATTGCTGGAAAGGCAGCTTCAGCGGGTTCAAAATGTCCCCATTACATGCTAAAAATACACTCAGACAACTAAAATTATGCAGGAAGAAGTAAAAATACACCGAGGCTTTTGAATTATAATAAGTGAAGGCTTTTCTAGTGGAATGGTCACTAACCCAACTAGGTACGTGCTAGACAGACTTCATGTAACAATACAGCTGCTATGCAAGATAGGAGAGAAAACTTCATTAAAATAACTGGTCAGGATGTTTCCCCTGTAATAAACATGTGCGAGGAAGCCAGTGGTGATTTTGATGCTAGAGAATCAAGGAGGGAGGGGGAAAAAGCAGCAGTTATATGTTGGTATGGGTTATTTGAGTCTCAATCCACTAAACAAAACACGCAGAGGGAGGAAGAACATTGGGACAGCAGAGTTCTTGCTTTAGCACATCTAGCACACAGCATTGGAACCTGTATAACACAGAAGTGCTCAGAGCACCGCGGAGCCCTGTGCTGCCCTCCTGGCAACCACAACCATCCCAGCACACTCAAGAGTCAATATTAGGAATGGAAAATTAGTACTCTGATGGAAAAGTATTCGGTCTAAATATAAACCTTCGCTTCCTCAAAACCTGACTATCTCACTGAAACACTTTCTAAAGGAAGAAAGTAAGATCGGAGCGGGGGAGGAAGATATACTGGCTACTATTTTGCTGTGTTTCTCTGCAAACTTTGCAGCAAATAAATGCATTAAAAGCATTATTTCATGTGCAATATGGACACAAAACAGGAATCAATGCATCTTTATAACGCAAGTTACCTTGATTAGGAGAAAACATTTTGCATGTTCTAAAATAACTTCTCAAAGATACTGGGGTGGAAGGCTTGAAGGGTTTAGCGTTTGCTTGGAAAAGTCTCAAAACATTGGAATTTTCTATGGAGAAACCCCGCTTATCTCTAGTAGCAAGTTTCCTTCAGGGAACAAGAGGGAATAAATCTAGGATATTGGAAAGCAAAATCCACAGCTGTTTCCATCACGGGCAGCAGAGAACAACATAAAGGGAGGAGAGCAAGCGGTGGCTGCGGCATATTAAGGCCAGAATTTTTTGGTCCAGGCTCCACAAACTCAGAGTGATTTAAAATAACAGTATTAAGGCAGGAGAAGAAAAATGGCAAGCTTAAGCTGCAAGAAGAACAAGAATGTGAAAGTTAGAGATATTTGGCAAGGGGAGATGGATAACATAGGAGATATTCTAATATCAAAAACATCTCTGGAAGTAACTTTAGGAGTTTCAGCAGACAAAACTTTTGTTAGACAAAAAACAATGAGAAAATGACAGGAATTTCAAGCTTTATAACCACACATAAAAACAGTGAAAGGAATAAGTAAGAAGGCAGGAGTTAAATGGGGCCAAGACAAATATATGTAAAATAACAAATGTTTAGGAGAAAGGTCCTCTGCTTCCTAACATGCAATGAAGTAGAAAGTCAAAAACTGAAAAACAACAACAAATTCAAATAAATAAAAACAAACAAATAACAATAAAAGGAGAGATTAGATGGTAAGATTTGCTGCTGTAGAATACCTTAGCAAATTCAGAAAGGACCAGGGAACTGGAAGAACAGAATGACAGGCAGCAAAGGCAGGAATTTTACCTGATTCTTCTGTTTCTTTCATCTCTGCTGGATTTTCGATTTCCTCATCAGACATTTCCATTTCCTCCTCTCTTCGAATACCCATTAGTTCATCATTATGAATGTTACGAATTTCCTGCAGTTCAGAAAGCAGAAGCTTTTTAAACACAGACTGCAAGGAGCTATTGGTTGGATAAAGAAATGTTGAAATCTAACTCCACAAACAAAATACAACTCCATAATATAAGAAAGGAGAAATAGGAGATTTTTTTTGGCATGAACCATGAAATCAAGACTGTCTACCATGAATTCATCTGCCAGTACTGCTGGCGTTACTGACTCTTCCATGATCTCCTACCATGATCTCTTCCATGATCCTACATGCTCTCCTGCTCATTACTTCTTCCTACCAGTGCTCTATTCCCAAACACACAGCACCTGCCTTTATCAAAACATGCATCTTCTCGGCATTTCTTTCTTTTGCCCTCCTGCAGCATTGCTGTTCCTCAGTGCTGCCCCACTCCTCACTGCTCCATGCCTCCACCGTGCAGCTGCATGGCTACTACAACACACAACCCACCTGAGACCCAGGCCGCGCCAGTTAGGAAAGGGAATTGCAAGTAAACACGTAGAGGCCAGAGACTGTCCCGTCGTCTCCAGGCTCGCACCAAACCTGGTACGCGCTGAAGCTTCTCTCCCTTCTGCCCCTGTGCCTGTCACTAGTGCTGACATTGCATTGCTGACTCTCCCCCACGCTGCTGGGGTCTTCCCCACTGCCTCTCATGGCCTTGGTCCCCATGAGGGAGAGGAAGAGAACAAAACAGTGGTTTGGCTGCCAAACCACATCAGGTCCTGCTACATGTGTCTGGGCTCTTCCCAGTCCTTTCACCTTGCACAAAAGCAGCCAGGCAACCTCCCCTGCTCCTCTCAAGATTCCCTATCCATCCTCTGCTCAGGTGAGTTCATGTTGGGCCCGGGGACATTGCTCCACACATCATTCCTTGTTTTCAAAGCAAGGAACTCTAACCCCCATCTCCTTCTCTCTGCAGACCAGGACTAGAAGTACTCAGAAAGTGATGAGCAAATATTCCTGCAGAGGGAGAGACCAAAAATACTTACTGAAGGCTAGTGCAGGCTGCCAAGTGTCCCCACCCCACATCCAGAACTTCTAGGTTATACAACCCAGAAACAACCACAGGAGAAGAGACTGCTTATCACTACCCTGACCAAGCAGGCCAGGCCTGCTCAGCATCCACAGGGGAACCCAGAATGAGAGATAAGAAAGCATCAAAAATGCTGAATGCTCAAGCAAGAGTTTTCCTAAGCAAGGAAACAAGCCAGCTGGTAGCTCCCATCACACAATGCTTCACCAGGTCTCAAACTGCTGCAGCTCTTTGACAAATCACACCCATAGACAGCACATACCTGCACTGCTTGGCAAAGCTGCATTAAACCATCACTGACAAGAGGGCTACTAATAAACCCTGGCCCAGCCCAACAACTTTGCAACACAGAGCCATTCTCTGAGGTGCCCTTATGCTTTCATCTGACGCCATGACCATGGAATAGTTAAATTCTGCCAATTTCTGAATCAGTATAATGCATATTCTGGGTCTCTTTCATTTAAGGAAAAATAAAATAACAAAAAAAATCCTAATCTGGCAGCAAGGAGCATATTGAGCCAGATAGCAAGTTCTCCTGAAACACACCACTCCACTGGTCTCACAGCCTCTTTATGCTGGAAGAACTTACCTTGGAACAAAAGACAGTCCCAAATGGAGAGAGAGAGCTCCCACCCCAGTGCTGGTAAGCAATCTCAGGTAAGCAGAAAAAAAAATGCTAGTGCTCAAAGTAAAAAAAGGAAAAAAGAAAAAAAAATCAGGCTCTCCAACAACTGGTTTATTGGATATCAAACAAACATGATCTCCTCCTTTAGCTCCAAAGGAAGTTTTGACTAAGTGGACTTCTGAAAGGAAGACCCAGAAGCACAAGCTCACGGGGAGATTCACAGTTGCAAGCTTCCTAGGAGGAAAAGGTCATTTAGGGCTTTTCAAAGTTGTGCAAGCTCCATCATCTGCTTTTTACCAGACTGCCAGTGGTTGGCTATTAACCAGCTTTAATGATACCTAATTTTTTCATGTTGTAGCTATGCTGAAGGCGACATCCACCTCACCTTTCATTTCTCCAGGAGTCATTTGTGTGTCACCACACACACTTGTGTATTACTGTCTTAATTCAAATTTACTTTTGATGCTAATTTATCTTAAAAGGGAAAAATAGTTCTTGCCTTTGCCAGAATAGACTTGTTTCCTGTAAGTAACTCTGTCTTTCTGGCAAATCCTTTCAGACAGTGGAAAGCTGTTGTTAGATGCTCCTTCAGTTTTCTCTTCCCAAAGTGAAACAACTCCAGTTCTCTGGAATACAGCCTTCCATGGGACACTCTCCAGTTCACTGACATCTTTTTGGGGGTAAAACTGAACACAGCACTCTAGATGGGATCTCATCCACACCACACAAAGGTGAGAACCACTTCCCTTGACCTCTGCTCTGACCAGCGCAGCCCAGGATGAGGTTGGCCACCTTTGCTGCACATCAGCTATGTTCTTCTCCAGGACCTTCATGAAGCATTTGCAGACCTTCTACCTAGGCAGCTAATGTCTGGTCTGTACTGCTGCACAGGATTACTTTGTACTAGGAATTTATGTTTATCTTGGCTCATTTTGCCACTCAATGCAAACATGTGAGTGTATACAATACCTTCCCCTCCCTAAAGCACAGACTTTGCATATTCCTGTCAGTTTGAATGCCTTCCTGCAAGCCAAAACATTTTTTAAACCATCAGAACAATTTAAGTCATATATCAAGAAAGGATTCACTTTCAATACTCACTTTCAACTCAGTTTTCAATTTACCCTTACAGAGGCCATGCACAACCTGGTACAGATGCATTTAAAAACTTTTAAAAAGTCATATCTAAAGCACCTGCCTCTCCTCACCACTCCTACTCTTTACTGCTTGCAGGAACCACTCAATTGCTAACTCAGTTCTTTAACTGAGCTAACTTAGGTTCTTTAACTCTCCCTGTCAGCACCCAGTCATTCAACTGAGGTCACTAGAAGACCAATATGCCTAAGCTACTTGCTACAACACTCCCTGCATCTAAGTTATATTATTCTTTGTGAATCATTTGCAACTTTGTCTCTCAAAGCACGGCCTGGATAAATGCTAGCAGTCTACTTTGAAGAGCTTCTCTCCAAAAAGTCAACCTATGAATAAGTGGTCAGTGAGTTACGCTATTTTCATACATTCTTTCTAAATAATGCACCTTAAATAAAAGGTGCAGGTTCCAAGCATTTTCTGGGGATTTGGGCAGACACTGCAGAAGAGGAATTTGAGAAGCAGAAGCTGGGAATCATATTGGAAGATTAATGGAACAAGCTAATGGAACACTGCTCTTCATTTGAAATTCTACTGCTTATATATTTGAGTCCTTTCTGCTAGAAATTAATCACTTCAGAAGACAGGGCTCTCTTGCCGCTGTCTTCACTTGCGGGCAGGAGACAAACTGTTTCCAAACCTTGCGGTCCTACCTGATCCACAAGACACCCACATTCTCCCATAGGATGGTCACATGCAGGAAACATGGAGTGTGATCTAAAACAAGTAGTCACAAAAATGGCAATATTTGCTTTCCAACTCAGAAAACCAAGATAAAGAATAAACAAAGGTCCAAAGCTCTCAGACTAGGTTTTCTCATCCAAACCTGACTTCTACCAGTTAATCCATCTGTGAGAGGAGCACTTGAGATAACAGAGCCAAAAGCCCAACTCTCTTCAAATCCCTCAGCCAAGACCACAGTTTTATACTTCCAAATTTGTATTCCCAGTATGGGATGGCTGAATGCTGGCCACTCACTGGGCTGGAAAGTTGGTTAAGGTGATGCTGAAACAGGAAAGCATCTGCTTTAATTTATTGTTGATACATGAAAGACAACCTCATCTCCACACTGCTAGCACTGCCCCAGTGAACAAAGAACATCTCCAAACACAGAAGTATCTCCTTGCATTAGTACATTTTTCACAGCAGTTCTTTTTTACACTTCAGTCATTGGTTCCACTCTGTAAAAGAAGTCTTTATGGCCAGAGAAAATAACCGATTCAAGGCCCACCCTACTTTAATAAGTAGAAAAAACAGTTTCCTGACTTTTCCTTTGTAACTATTCATATCCCTGGGGGTGACAGCACTTTTGCTGTCACTGTGGGCATTAACCTTTTTAGGGATTAAACACATTAGTGACACTCCATAAGAGACACCAAGATTCCCTAGGGCTCTTCTGCTGCTCTCGCTAGACTTTCATGTTCCTAAAAAGCACAGAAATCTCCTCCAGTCTAGCTCAGGGCAGCCAGAAGACATCTAGATGGGGCCACTGCAGATGCAGCCAAGCAAAGGCAACAGAAGGGGCAAGTAATTCATCCTGGACTCTACTTAAACAACCTCTGGCAGACCATCACGATGCCCCAAACAGGCTTTCTCCATCTTAGCTTTTTATTTTCCTCTGACACTGTGGCTGAATCAAATAGGATTTGATAATATCAGGTAGAGAACTGTAAACATTCTTTGCCTTGTGGTAAACAGCAGTTTGAATAATATTCCTTCCCTCCAGATTTACATGCTAGATTTAATTTGAAACGTTTCAGCATCAGGTAAGTACATAAACATGAGGACATTCTCCCTCGAACTTTCTAGACTGTCCAGGTGCAATTGTTTCAATCCCTCGAGTCTGTCAAAAGTGTGACAAAAATGGATTTTCTCAGTGTTGCTGTTCTGTTTTTGTTCTCCACATTTCTCTCTCACTTTAGTAGAAATCTCTCTCACTTTAATATTAAAAACCGCAGAAAGACAGATCAAGAATTGTTGTGTACAACTTAAAACCGCATACAGAACTCAATATATCAGTCACATAAACACTAAGAGCAAATTTATTACCTGAGGCACAAGAGAGGAGCGAGTAATTCCCATCTTACACTGTTGAATTAAGACGTTACTATCCACGTGAGCATTGTGTAAAGTTAAAAGCAATATCCTGACATGAAAGCGACTGTGCCGGAGGATCTAACAATAAAAAATTACCAACCTCTGCTTGTTTGCACCACACGCTGATGTTCTTACGCTGAGCTTTCGTGAAATGGTCCCAAGCCTTTTGTTTGGAGGCAGAATGGTACACGGCCACTATCTGCTCGACTGTAGTATCAAATCAGCAGTCAAATCAGGGCAGAATATCATCCAGAGAGGGCGAACAAGAGGAGTAAAGGAGTAAAAGAGTGGAATCAGGCAGGTGGTTTGGCTAACCTTTGTTATAACACTGTACTGTGCTGAAGCCATGCTCAGGAAAGGGACTCTGCCTGGAAAGAAAAGTGTGGACTTCACCAGGCCAGTGCCCAACGTGCAGAGTAATGACCAACTGGAAAAAATGCATCTGCTCTCTAATAGGAAAAAAAGGCACGTTGCAGTGAAAAATGTTCAAATACTGTGCGCAACATTGTCAAGGAGTGCAAGAGGGAACATCTGCTCTTTAATTTGGGATGATGAGGTAAAACTCTGGAAGTTGGCACTTAGGATGTTCTTCTGCCCAATGGATCCAGTCCTAAAGAACAGTGCCACAGCTTGAAAATTACAGCAGCCTATCAACACATACTCAAGAAAAGGGCTGCTGGTATCAGCTATCAAAACCATTCTTTTCCCTTAGGTGTATTCTAACTTTTTTTTTTTCCCCCCCCCTCTAAGAGATATGCAGAGATTTTCAGGAATATGAAATGCCTCTCCTGGGACTGGAATTCACCCAGCGGCAGAAAGCACACCTAGATGTTTTATCCCCCTTGGGATGTTGTAGTAGGCATAACTCTTATGAAATAATATTCGGTCTCTGCTGCTTAAGATTAATAAAAGTACAAAAGGGTGAGATACCAGCAGGTGTTTTACAGAGATGAGTTACATGCTGTCTATCACCACTTACTCTGCAGTGCTTAGTGTATTTCCTTCTGGACCGTTTACCCATGTATTTTATCATGAACACAGAGAATCAAAAGCAAGTATCAAACAAGTAACAGGCCAAATAACCAAGTGTAAAACTTGAAAATAAACAGATTTATAGGCTTAACATGTAAGAGACAATGAATGTTTTGAGGGAATTGTTACAAACCGGATGCTGAAACTAATACAGCCATGCCTCTTACTTGACTTCACGGTTAAATAAGGTGCTCTGGGATCTGAAATACCCAGGTTCAAAACCTCATTCTGCGCATTGCTTTCAATGTAACTTAAGTTGTGACTGAGGTTGCTCAGAATAGGGCATTGGGAAAACTCTACTGCATCCTACCTTTGACGAATAAATGCTGCATACTTCGCTGAGGCACCAGATTACCAGGAACTTACCTTGATTGTGCACAAAGGTGCAGAGTGTTGAAAAGATGACAGAATTACTAACAGACTATAATTAAAAGAGAAAATAATTAAAAATTCATTCTCTTCCTTCCCCCAGATATGGGCTCTCACTTCAATAAAAATATACCATAGGAAACTTCTGCTAAGTTAATGACATAAATTAGCTATAGTGGCACAAAAGCAGTTGCTTTTCCAGGACCCTTTTTGTATGGCCTCTCCACGCTTCAAAAATTAAAGCGCACTCCCTTATAATAGACAACCCACATTCAGTGCGGAAATATTACTCACACTGAACTAGAATCCCTGAAAGAGCAAGTTTGAATTTCTCCTTCGCTTCTTCCATCTCTTTCTCATGAGTTGCTTTTTCATTCACCAGTCTGCGAATGTGGCTGTTGGCCGACTGAATCATGGAGTAGAAGTTGTTTGCGGTTCTTCTGTTCACTTCTCCGCGCTCTATCCATGTCAGTAGAGTCTGTACAGCTTCTGAGAACTTTGTGTCATCTGCAGCAAGACAGAACATCTTTTCATTGGGGAAGTACAAGGTTACCTGAGCAGCTTCCAGATGCTTCCCCTGGCACCACCAAACTGCTTGCTCAGGGTGGCTAATCTGGATTCCTAGGAAGCACCAAGGAAGCTGCAAGGTCTGGATAGCACCGCTGTTTCAGCTTAGCAAGACGACCATGGGAAAATACAGCCTCCCTCGGCATCTGCTCAGAAGGGCAAGAACATCCTACAAAACTACTGACCTTTAAGTTTCTCAGCAACGATGCTGCATTCGTGATCGGAGTAATGGACGACGGGAGGTGGGGACGGAGGGCGGAACCTCTCCTCCTCCAGCCGGCGGCGATGGCGTTCCTCCCGCGCCAGCATCCGCTGCTTGCATTCCCACTCGTAGAGATCGTCGCGAGCCTGAGCAAAATCCACGTGCAGGCGCCCGGTATCCTTTTTGTCCGTGCTGGAGCCTAGCCTGATCCGATAACCTGAGGGACACGAAAACCATGTTCAAGAAGGAAAAGCAATTTACACAAGGCAATGCCTTAGGCTCCAACTACATGACAGTGCTGGTCAAAAACTAGGAAACTAGGAAATCCCTGAACACAAGAGGGCATTGCAAGTCTACCCAGTTCAACGGTAACCAAACAAGAGTTGATCCTTCCAGTCCTCCAAAACCAACAACATGTGGATAAATTTTCCATTGTTTTAACTTATAAAGCGCGTTTCCCTTGCTTACCTTCACAACCTCATCTCTTTGGAGAGAGAACAGGTCTTAACAACAATAGGCTCCTTTGTTAATGTACTGGAAGATTTAATTCAGTAGGAACTCTGGCATGGAAGAAAATATTACTATATTTTCCTAGAATGGTAGAGAGTTGGGTAGACAGTTTGGGCTGTTCTGCGCAAATGTAAGAGTGTGACACACAGGCAGGCTAGGTAGAGTCTGCCAAGCACTCAGTTTGCAAGCCATGAGGTTTTCCCCATCAGGCACGACGCAAACCTCTTAAAACCTCACAGGCATAGGACAAACCATCCCAGTAAGTCCAGATGTTTGTACTCTGCTTGCCAACAGAGAAAAGATACCAATGAAAGTCAGGCACATCATCCAATGAACAAGCACTGGAGTGCAACCATATAAACGTAAAACATAGGACATTTATCCAAGGAAGAGCGTAAAAGACCCCGACTGCACCTCATCCCAGTATTCTGCAAAGGTGACACATCATTGCAGTCTTCTCTATCAAGAGCTGTTCTCGGATATTTAAACGGAAATGGATTAATAGCTGAGAAAGAGGCAACACTGCTGCAACAGGAGATAAATTTCCCAGCAGCAGCAAAGTCTATGATTGCAACTGTAAAGAAATCATTATATCTTTACCCCAGAACTTTAACCTGTCATCCGAAGCAGAGATATACCTACCAGAGAGATAAAGCGCCTTATCCACCATGAACTCCTCAGCAAAGCGAATGTGACAGAAATTCTTTTTACTCTTCCGAATAGCTATAACTTCCCCACATTGTTCAAAAACCTCCATGATGATCTGTTCAGTTCCATTTTCTGGCAGTCCTCCCACAAACACGGTCTTACACCCAGGAGGCCTCTCTCTTGTTGCTGGAGGAGGAAGATCTAAAAAGAGTAGGAGAGAAAACAGCTTGGGTTTTAGAATCTGTCAGCCTACATTTACCTACCCATCTGCCCCAGACACACCTGCTTCCTTGCTTCCTTCAAATACAAACTCAGCTACAACGTGTTTCACTAATGAATATCATTAGGAAGAGAGTTGCTTGGGTGCCATGCATGGAAGCAAGGCCCAAAGCCTCCCAGGCGTTTTCTTTAGTGCAAGAAAGTGCTCACCAAGTTCCTATTGTATAATTTGAGAAGTACCTAAGATCTCAAAACCCTCTATTTTGCTACACAAACACAGCTTAAAGGACTACTCCTAACAAAGAATAAACAGAAAATGTATCCAGAGAATTCTGAAGAGCAAAAGGGTACAAAAATATGAAGATAAGGAAAGGCTGCTAACCTAACACTAGATGTTAACAAAGAGAGATATCATGGAAAGAAGTGCAAAACAGAGTTGGCAAGTGCAGCAAGACCCTCGCAACACAACATATGAAGGCCAAGAAAGGTTACTGTCTTGTTCTTAATTGTTTCTTAACACCTGAAAAATCTTAAATCAACTTCAGTGCTAGGCTTAGGGTTCCCCAAACCTGAACTTTTACCTCTATTCCAGTGTTCTTTCCTAACCTTAACAAGTATTCCCTCTCCCTACTTTGCTGTCAATATATCTTCTCAGTTCTCCTTGGAAACATGGACCTGAGGGGAACAGGAGATGGAGTTGCCTGTAGCCTCAGGATAAAAGCAATGGAATTGGAGAAGAAAAAAAATTCTCCAGCTGTAACACAGGAAGGAGAAGCTGTAGGAAGGGACAGGGAAAGCAGATAAACTGCCCCAGCCCACAGAAGAGAAAGAGGCAGGGGACAGACAGGAGAGGCTGAGTGACTGGGTGATGATAGAGGGGCAGAGCCCAGCAGCAAAGAGATCTGAGAGCAAGGACAGCAAAGTGAAGACAACACGCAACAACAGCCACTCGGGTACGTTGCACCAGGGCTGCAGATCAGACACAAGTCGAAAGGAGCCCACAGGGGAAGTCAGTCATTAAAACAGAGGTAGAAGGAGAACAGGAAGTAAAATCTCTTCTTGAGCCCAGCTTTCTCATGACCTGCAACAGCTGTATGAGAGGAAGTGATCTAGGATCAGGAATTTCCATCAGGAAGTGCTAGGAATCTCAAAAGATGAGAAGAGGGCAAAACCAAGAGTAAAAACACAGGAGAGGGAGAGCAAGAAGAGAAAGGGACTCAGCTGCAGGGTACAGGAAAGGAGGTGGGAATCTACTCAACCTCACATACATAAACCTTCGGCCAAGAAAAGCAATATCTGACTGTAATTTCCAGGCCAAGTCAATGGTACTTGAAACATGTTTTTTTCTGGGAACATTTACTTAGAGATGAATTGGCAGATTGTGAATTGCAAGAATTTTATTTTCAAGGCTAAGTAGGAAGCATCATGGTTTCTCAATCCCAGGTAGTCATGAGACTCAAGTGCCATCTACTGGAACCTCACAAACCTCTTACAGATAATTTGTTTGGGGAGGTCACGCATCCGTTCCACAGAGGAAGCAGAGCTGAGCACTAGTACAATTAATTCAGCAATAGGGTTAAGGCATAGATTAAGGACCCTGGTCTAACAGGCCCTTCTGCATCCTTCAAAAATACAGCCTTGTGATACCAGCTTCTCAGATGCTTCTTAGATTTACACAGAAAGTACAAGTTGCCTCAAGTATAACAGGATATTGAAGATCCCTCCCTAAATTTGTCCAAGTATAAAGAGCCAGAGAAGGGTGGCAAACCTTGAAGTATTGGCTAGATGTGAAATGGACCCAACACCCAGTACGTAGCACGCTGTGCGTTATCCAGTCTGAGTGCAGCTCACAATTCCTACTTATTATCATACATACAAGACTTGAGGACAGGCTCCTTCTAAAGTAGGGTTTATCTTGAAGGTGGATGTCTAGAATAGGTCAGATGAATTGTACCGAAACGCTACCACAAGGGAGTTGCTCTGCAATTTCCTTAGATAGCAGTGATTCATCTTCCTCAAAAGCAGCCTCAAACATTTGGTCAGATGAGTTGCCCCCATATATCACTACAGAGCCTGCCATCCCTTTAGCATCACTGACGAGGGGTCAGAGAGAAGTTCATGGTGAGGAGACCTAGAAAATAGACAAGCAAATCTGTCTGGTCTAACTCAGGTTCCTTCTGAGTGCCCCTTCCTGGCAGTATATTAACTTGTCAGGATTACACTGACAAGTATAATGACCAAGTTCAATGTGCCAAACCATTTCTGCCTTGCAAACATGTCACTTGGAAAAGCTCAGGCAGTAAATGTCAACACAGGATGCTTAAAGAGTCAAAAGGATGAAGAACCAGCAATGAGCTGAGAAACTGAACTGACATGAAGGGATAAAACTTCTTGTCCAAAGGGCTTGAACATTTAAAATACTTAACAGCAGAGCTGCTCCCTTCCTGATGATGCTCCAATATTGCAGCAGCAACAACAGAAAAGAGGTAGGTCAAAAAAAAAAAAAATTAAACCAAGAATGCCATGTTAGCAGCAGGACTCTAGTGATTTCTAATTCCCATCCCAGAATAGGGACCCCAGGATGAAGTTTTGTAAGAAAGTCTACGGCTGCTTCCAGGGGAGCACGACCGGCAGGAGGATGGATACAGCATTATCACTCCACAACATGCCAGCACGCTGCTCTCCATCCGGCCAAGAAATGGTGAAAGCTGACACGACACGTTCAGTGAAGTCTAAGAATGATTTCAACCAACCCAGATGGAATCCACAAAGAGGCTCGGTGATGACAGCCAATTATCCTTAAAATAAATCTCCAAAGACAAAAGGGAATTCTGTTCCTCAAAGTTGTTCTGGCGAGGAAGGCTGTCAATGGAGTCCAGACGGAAAGCACAATGAAGACTTAAGATTTCTCATCTACTGTCCATTAGAAAACAGATTTGTGTAGAACATCAGCTGCAGCTCACTACCCCAAGCTCACACTACCTTACCAACACACTAACAGGACCAACATGGAACATAGTAACCTGCTCTTGAGTTCTGTACCCCAGCATGCTGGTAACACCGAATCTCTTTGCTCAAAGATGCTTTGCTTTCTGAACCAGCCACTAGTCATCCTGGAAAGCAAAACTGGCTAGAGCATTAGGATTTATACTTCATTTTTTTTCCTCCTAGTACCTGGAGAGGGAAGCATATAAAACATTTCTGTTAATATTCCCTGAAACAAAGCCACTGAGGCCTGAAGCCACCTCTTCCCTGGAAGCATAGAGTGGAGAGACAGATGTATTAAGGTCTCCACACTGCCACATGCACACTAAGACTTGTCAGAACAATAAAACTCCCCCTGGGAATAGGGTACTGCAAGCATAGTATGAGCCAGGTCCCAAGCTTTGCCAAGCACATAACAGAAGTTACCATTGCAACTGGCACTGATGTCCCACCACTACTTGTTTCTGCAGCTTCCACCCTGGACCAAAGGTATTGGTGGATGGAGAAAAGATAAAGGCTGAAGCCTTTTTGTCACACTTGCTGTCCCAGGCATTATTTAATGCTGATTTTTCTCTTCTGTCCCTTCAGAGAAGCAGTAATGATGAAAGGTTCCTAAGAGGGGTCCAGCAGGAGAGCTGACTACCAGGGGCTTCAGGTGGAACAGGGAAATGAGTCAGAAAGCAAAGCAACACATTCCAAAACAGAGAGGTGTTAGCAGCTTGTCAGCAAGAAACGCAGAGACCAGAGTGATAATTTTTGGAAAGTAACTGACCAAATTTAAAATGTTTTTCACAGGAACAACAAAAAGGCAGCCTTGAGCTAGAGAGATTGTGTAGGTGCAGTGCTGAATTTATGGGCCAAACAGGCTTAGAGTCAAGAAATTCAGAGAACTCCAAGCTGCACAGGAGGAGAAAAAAGGAGAAAAAAAAAAAAAAAAAGAAAAGAAAAGAAACAACTGTACTTGCTTCAGTGCTTCAGCTAGGAATTTAGATGAGAGCATTTAAAACTGCTAAAGGGAAGTATGGAGCTATGTTTCACACGGTAACAGAATAGTTGTTGGACGAAAAACAGGCAAGCTCCAAATAGACTTAAGTGCATGCACAGGGAGGACGAGAATTAGTCAAGTAGTTTTGTAGTTCAGCTGTGACATGCAGTGAAGAACAAACACCCCAGGTAAAAACAGAATTGATTTGGATGACATACTGCTTCAGGGAAGGATTTGGATAAGACCTTTTTTTTTTTTTTTTTAATATTGTGAAAGGATATCAAACTCTGAAGAAACATATTAATGTGAGAGACTTTTCAAACTTCTCAGAAAAAGGCTGATAAATTATCAGTAATGGCATCACAAATGACAAGTGGATACATTTCACCAGACAGTTCTGAGCCAACAAGCAGTGCTGCTTTAGATAAGAGGGGTAAGGGATGATTTGTGGATATTAAGATGTTAAGGACATTACAGAACAGCTGGTAGAACAGCCATGGAATAATCTGGTTTAAATACAGTGAAAAGCTTTAAAAAAATAAAATAAAATAAAAAGCACAAGGTTTTCACTGGGGATTTTGTAAATAGATTTATTTCCAAGGAATAATTCTGAAAAAATTAAAGGAGCTCATCTTAAATGTTCTCAGGACTTCGATGCGATAGAAGCTTGAATTTATTTTGAACCTGTATCTCAAAGCAGAAACAAAAAAGCGTCTCTGCTCAAGTTCATCTGGATGAAAAGCACTCTGAAATACCTGAAAAGTACACAAAGCTTGCAAGAATCAGGAAAAGGAATTGGTTAGCACAAAAATATATATGTTAGAGGCAGAAAGGGTAGGGATAAAGCAAGATCTGACAGAGAGCACGAGAAAGTTGATTTAGAATGCTTTCAATGGAAGCTGATACAAGTAGCAAAAAGTATCAGCCTGAAAAATCACAAAGTACAAAAGAAACAAAGGATATTAAGCATATAATTTGTGCATGCTTCAGCATAACAGCAATGGCTAAAGACACAAAAACCAAAGGACACTTCAGCAATGATTTCCTACTTACCTCTATCACATCTGCAGCTTATTGTTCATTTTATCTCCTTCATCTTTCCCTGATACCTTTTCCATCTGACTTTAGTAACCAAAGTCAGCTAAAAGGGTGAGTCAGGTAGTTTGAAGGCAATTCTTCTTTCTTGATTTAGCCAGATGCCGAGTCTTGACTGTTACCTTATTTTTTTCTGTCTCCTTTCATGTTGCCGCTGCTCTCCCTCCCTCACTTTCAGGAAGACCCAAGGGCTCCCATCTCTCAACATTGATCACATGGGCCAATCCTGTAATCCCTTCTTTAAAAAACTTGCCATCCTTGAAGCCACAGGCAAGTATCACCCCAAGAAAACTAGAATCCAAATATCTAGGGTCAAGAATATTATCTTCACTAGTCCATATCTTACAGCTGAAAAAGACTATTTGTTGCAATGAGAAACATTCAATGGCAAGAACAGACCTTCCCATTGCTGTCACCTAATCCATAGTGTCTCACCCCAGAGTTGCACAGCCCAGGAGACATAACAGCGCTTCTCTAACATATAGATTTTTATGTATATTTATAGATTATATATATTTAGGCACAAACACAGGGAGGAAGAGATCCATTATCACTCCTGAGTGCAAAGAAGAAACAGGACAACACATAAGTAGGCCCTTACGTGGGTTAGGTGGAAAGAGAGTGCAGCTTTTGCAGTGAATGATCTCCTTCACAGCAGGCATGTCCGGGGGGATGGGAGGTGGGACGATCCCAAGGCCTGGCATCATGGGGTTGATTGGAGGGATTCCAGTCATCATGCCAAGGGCAGGATCAAAATCTAGGTGGGGAAGACAATGAGCAACTCAGTTATTTTGGACTCATACAAAAAAAATAGTTCATCAAGACTATACTCACCCCTGTGTTAGGAAAAAACAGCTGAGCCGCTATAGCGAGGGAGCATCAAGATTCAACTTACTCAAACTTGAAATCTGTCCCCTTGAAACCACCTTTTTTTTGGCAACTATTTCCTTGTTGATCATCTCAGCAAAAGAAGTTTCCTCGTCAAAAACTTCCCCACTTCACAGATACCTCTATCCTGCACCTAGCGAGAAAATCTTTCGCAATAAATGCTCTGTCGTGGTGGCGTAAGTGAACAGTGTGAAACCAAACTCAGTGCAGTATCAAAATAAATAGTACACACTTTGCTTCTTCACACAGGTTTAAGAGCATCACCTTGCAACCTAGACAGGTATGAATTTTAACTCCCCAGCTCAGGCACCAGAGAAATCCTAGGTGAGATATACAGAAGTATTTAAGGAAAACCTTTATTGTTAAATATCACCTAGAGTGGCAATAGGCTTTACCCTATTTAATTTGTTTCTAGGCTTTCAGTTAGCTATATTCAGACTATACCTGAAAAAGTAGCATTTTAGTCTAGTTTTACATTTATTTTCTGTAAGGACAACTGCTACCACCAGGGCTACCTATTTAAGATGTAGAAAGACAAAAATGAACTTTGCAAGGCACAGGGGAAAATTACATGTAGATGGAACCAAGGGAAATGTGCAGAGGTAGCATTTTCCTTTGTTGCTAAGCTGGCATTGGTCCCAGCTGATCAGAGTGCACATTTTTACTATGAAACCTTTAGGACAAATTACTACACTAGGCGAGACTCAAGATCCCTTTAGATTATGAGAAATCCATGTGAAATGAATGCCTTACCAAGTATATTAGTTTTTAACTACTGCTTATCCATGGACAGCTTACACTGGCGGACCTAGCTTGTGACACCCAACTTGCAAAGCTGTAGAATTTCAAGCTTTCATTAGCAGGTTTCAGAGATGACACGGCTGAAAACACCAAACAACAATGCTTGCAGCTATTCAAATAGTATTTTCACCTCTCTCAAAAGAAACCTGCACACCTTCAGTTCATAGCTTCCTACAAAAAACAATCTCATCAGTCTTTCTGTCTATAGACAGGGCCATGCTCAGCAGCCTGGACAGGCAGCCCTACTACTTCACACAGCAATGGTGTATGATGCCACTGAACTTTACACTGGATACAGGCTCCCAGGGGAAAGAAGGGCTGTAAGGCTCAACTTTTAGGTTAAGGGTTACACTCGGGCAGAACGATCAATGCTATCCCTGTATTACTACTGTCCTGGAGCACTACAATCTCTTCGGTGGCAATTTGCTCTGAAATTAAAAATACTTAGGAGTTTTTTGAGCAGAGTCTCAACTTACAGTTTCTACCTAGGAAAGACCAAGTTAGGAGAGAATACCCCATCCTAGATCTCTGCAGGCTGAACTCACATCTTCTGAAGTTGAAGTCCAAGATGGAGGTTACCTTGTGGGTAGCTGTGATAGGGGAGAACTCGGGGAGATACGAGACGCTGGTGAAGCTCCTCGACCACAAGACCAAGTCCTGACAGAGAAACATCTTGATACAAGGTGAAACAAAGGTTGCTGAAGGCAAGCTAAAGTTCAACGAGCAAAGTTAGCCCCTTTCCTGCAGGGCTGCAAGAGCACTTGCGAAAGGTCACATCCTAAGCTTCCACTTACTAATACAGCTTTTAGATCCCAAATGCTTAGACAGGGGTGCTTGTTACCCCTCTCTCTCTTTCACGGATGCTTCTGGCTTCTGCCAAACAGCCCTGTCATGCTGCAGGCAATGGAAGCAGCCCTGATGTACTTCCTGTAGGGAGTGAAAATGAAGCCATGACACTTGGAAACGTGGCCTGAGGACACTGTCTTTCTCTGTAATCCAGCCTTGTCACTCCTACAAAAGTCATGGTTGAACTGGCCTGCAGTTGCCTGATAAGAGGAGCTGCAAGAAAGAGGGAGGAAGGGCCAAAGCCCTTGCCGCTGAGACAGTGTGGAAGACGGAGGTGGGGAGTTGGAGCTGCAAAGTGCAAAGGAAGGTCAAGTTGATGATGATCCTCTGTAAGAGCCAGTTGTCATCTCAGCATCTTTTGACAGAAGTCAAGACCAAGAGCTGGTCTCAGTGGTGCCTGGGAGAAGGCAGGGAGAAAAGGAAGTAAAAAAAAAAAAAATAGGAACAGAGGATAGGACCATCAAATATCAGAGGTGAACAGAGATAAATTTTCTGTCTTTGGGAAGGAGGATGCATCATGTTTCTGCAGAGACGTGACACTAGCGGGCATCAAGACTGCTGAAACGTACCTTGCTGTGTCCTCTTTCCACCATCTTTGTCAGGATGGTCACTGTTCGGCCTGGCCCTACAGAGAGGGGCCATGGGTCAGCCTATGCCACCCTCTAAATTCAGTCTCATGACATTTTATACATCTTCATGCCCATGAACGCAAGCAATCATCTTGCCCTTGTAACTTGTTACTCAAAGATTCAAGGTTAGCTGATAGCAGTGAACATGGACACCAACCCAGGAAAGTTCTCAGGCAGGAATGAAAAGGGCAAGTTTTGCCAAATAACTGAGGCGCTTAAGAAATCTGAGGGAGGAGGAAGTGAGGCCAGTTGCTTCCCTGACTGAGGTAGGCCAACAACCTTCAGAAAAGGTGAATGGATACAATAACCAGAAGCAAGAGAACCAGCAAGATTATAAATAAAGGTACAAAGTGTGCATACAAGGGGAAACAGGACCCAAAGCCTTTGGATTTCCGGCTGCTTGACAAGTGAGACCTACTGTTCATTGCTCAACCAGCACTATGCAAATGCCAGCAAGCTGCCAGCTTGCTTAGAGATCTGCTTTTTCAGTCAAGCAGCAGAGCCAATGGCTAAAGGCCAGCCCTGGAGAGGATTAAGAAGCAAATGCAGAAGAGACCATCTTCATTTGCGAAAATAAACAAAAAATAAAGAAGAAAACAAGAAGTTCTTGGGATTTAAGGAGTTTGAAAATCTCAGGCCTGTAAGGTACTTGCTCGGTGAAAGTTGTGATAGCCTTCAAAGTTGGTAGCACTTGCATGGAGTGAAAGATGTAGCACATCAACACCTTAAGATGAGTCAGAGTTTTAAGATAACATAATAAAAGCAGATGGTCTGCTTGGTCTGATGGCAAAGTCCTACCAAAGCACTTCCATAACTACACATTATACTCCATCCACAGAAAAAAAAAACCAACCAAACAAACAAAAAAACCACAGGCTAGTACACTCTTAAGCACTTTTAGACATTCTTTACTGAGACTTGAAATTTTAATCCCACATGCCTTTCAGCAAAGACAGCCCAAGGCACATCAAGCTCCCATTAGCTCTTATCTTTTAGAGTAATCATGTTTAGAGTGTTTAAGAACTTAAGAAACATTTTGCAGTCAGATCAGGAAAAGCCATTTGGCTCCTAAAATGGTATCTGTGTCTGCGCTGTTTGCTGAACACCAGATCCTAAAGCATCCAAGTCAGTGTTGGTCAATGCCAAAAGCCTTCTTTATTTTTATAGCTGGGAACCAGAGACTGCCTTCAAACTTGTGTACTGTCCCAGCACAGAGCAGATGATTTCTATGATTTTACTCAGCAGAAGCCTGCGAATGAGAGAAAGACATGAAAAGAAAATCTCATACAGCAAAGACAAATGTGAAACAAGGCTTCAGGGACAGAAGAGTACAGACAGCATAGAAAATATGCCAAGTTAAGTGATGCTGTTAGATAAATATAGTATCCACTGTACAGCAAACCACCTGCTCTGTGCTGTAAGAGGAGAACAGGATTGCAGAGTACTGCCAACACAGACATTCTCTCCCCAGGTGAGTAGCTGATTACTCAGGCATCTTCTGAGAGTTTATTATTCAAGTGGCACTGAAACTGTTTTTTTTTCCCCCCTCAAGATTTTGATGCACCAGGCCACCGCACTGGGAAACCAGGCACAGCACAGCTCAGTTACCATGGGAGCTCCTTCACAGACCCTGGATAGGCTGCTGCACCCATGCACATATACTCTGTATTGCAAGATGGTTCTTTCTGAAGCAGAATCCTTCAATAACTTCCACTATATCCATTTTACTGCCTCTTTGCTCTTTCTTTATCCCCCACATCCTACAGTTTAAGGAGTTCCAAGAGAGTTCAGCTTAGAAAACCAATCATATCAAATAACATATCTATTCTTAGCTCTGCAGATGCCTCTCAGTGCCTACTCTGGCTGGCCCACTGCAGAGAATCTAGTGGGTAATCCACAAAAATACATTTTGGATGAATAAATAGGTATTCTCATTTCTTCTGAAATCGGTTTTAAGCCACTGACTTCTAAATAAATCACTTGTAGACCTTAATGCATTTCAAATAGAGTCAATAAATGCCTAAGGCATTAAAAAAAATAACCATAACCTTATACAGTTGAGAGACCCTTCCTGAAGACATATTTGAAAGGAAAATGAGGGCATAGTCTGGACATATTCACATACCAGGCAGAAGCGGCTGTCCTGTCATTCCCATAGGAGCCATCCCAAGGTTGTTCATCGCAGTGGCCCAGGCAGTCGGGTCCGACATCGGCAAGCCCATCGGAATGGAGTCCAGGCTTAGATTTCTGCTACCATCTGCAAAGAGGGGGGGAAAAAGCGAGTTAGATCTCAGAGCATCATCTTCTGCAGGGCATATGTCGCCCAGCAAGGTGCTGCTGTATCAGCAACCAAAAACAGATTTGATCCTGGCACATAGGTCAGTGTATTTAAAAAACAAAAAAGCAGTCACTCCTGGTGCATAGAGGACATTTCACAGAAGCAAGGTCTATGAAAACACTGCCTTCCAAGCACATCTAAATGACAATTCCCTCATTACGATAAACAGCTCTAAGAAGCCTTGAAGGAACGCTACTTGAAGGTCAGAAATGTCCCTCATTTGCCTCCAAGAGATTTATGGACTTGGACAAAAATTCAGCAGATATGAATCATCAGATTACACTGAATTCAGAGGTGACCAACATGCTCTAGACAGTAGAAACACTCTCTGCATTTGAAGATATTTCTTCCATGCCAAAAAGAGAAAGGAAGCAAATAATAACTTTATGCTTCCAACAGCAGCAGTATCACTTTTACTTACTCAAAGACTAGCAGTTACCTGCCAGTCCAAGTAAAACTATGAATGTTATACAAACGTGTAGCTTAATACATCACTGAAGAAGTTTTGAGTTTAGGTAGCTGGATCCACCATACTTTTAGCCAGTACTTCAACATTCCACCACCAAGCCTCTTGTTCTTTCTGTTTGTAAGCCTTGGGAATTAGAGGTAGGTGCCCAAACACACACATACACACACACACACACAAATCTAGCTCCCTTTTCTACTCTTGGCCTCAGAGAAGAGGAAAGATAAGTTCAATTTGCTCAAATATCCCCTCTACCCTGGTGGCAAGCCCAAACCACAGCTCCCTTAGGCCACTTCTGAGAGGGGAGGAAAAAAAAAAAAAAAAAAACACTTTCTTGCCTAAATCACGAGCTCAGCTTAATGTAAGCAAAGCCAAGGTCAAGCCCTAGCTCTGCTTCACCCTCCTTCCATCACCAGCCTTTGCAATAAAAGATATTAAATAAATGACTTGCTGCACGTTATATAATGGCCAAGCTTTATACCATTAGCCAAATGTCCACATCACATTCAGGCTTAATCTACTTTTAAAAACCTATTATTTTTTTTTCCTTATCTGACAAATCCCACCAACTGGGGAAAAGCACGATATTCTTTAACTCCAATGCGACATGCAAAACACTTCAAATACACAACTCAGTCAAGTCAAGGAAGCAGGAACAGAAGAAAAACACACAACATCACAAAAAAGAAAGAAAAGGCAGCTCTCTAATTTTTGGTGATGTGATCTCACCTCAAGCACAACATGTTTTTGTAATATAATCAATCGCTATCCCTCATTTCACAAGGGTTGTGTTACAACACAATTAGATGGGTGGTTACAGAATGAGCATGATCTATAGCACATCCCAGTCTTTGTGTGAAGGAAACACATACTTAATTATAGTATCCCTTCACCAATTAGAGGAAATAACACCATCAGGGACTAAACAGATCACACTGCAACATGGGTTTCATATGGATGACATACATGCAGGGTGATTTTTCAGCAAGTCCAAGAAACACACTGAAGAGCAATCATTTTGTCTCAACATAAGAACACATACAAATTTGGATCCTGTTGGACGTTTTCCATCCCCACTTTTGAGCTTCTGAGCACTAGAACAGATTGCCCAGAGAGGTTGTGGAGTCTCCATTCTTGAAGATCATTCTTGAAAAGTCATCTGGACACAAGCCTGGGCAACACACCATAGGTGGCCCTGTTTGAGCAAGGGAGTTAGACTGATGATCTCTAGAGACCCCTTCAAACTTCAACCCTTCTATGATTGCATAAATTCTCCAATCCGCAACATTCCCTACCTGTGTACACCATCTCCCTCAGTCATGTTTCAAGCACTCAGCTGCCCACTTTGCCTGAAAAATTGCTGAACTGTCTCAGCTTAAATCAATGTGTTTTGGAAGAACTGGACCATCACTGGACTTTAGCTATCAACATTCATCTGCAAACAAGAGAGTGCACAGGCTACTCTGTCACACGAGATGAGAGAAACAGGGAACCCAGAGGAACATAAGGGAGATTATGGTGTTAGTGGTTGCCAATTAAAACAAAAAAATAGAGGGAGAAGAAAAGGCATCAGCATGAAAGAGAAAATCCCTAAGAGGGGTGGCAATGCACTAACGCCAAGGATCATCCCACTGCAAAAGGACAAATGGTGCACTCAGCATAAGATTAACTTACCTATCTCAAGCATACCTGCCCCCGTCCATTATCATATGTCCAACAAATAAGGCAGTTATAGGATATTCAAGATGGGCAAGGTCCTTCTCTCACATCTCTGCATCCAGTAAAAGATGTCCCAATGAAAATAAGATTTCGGGATGACAGGCTGGGCAGATCATGGTTGTGTTAACACAACCCATAAGTCTGCAAGGAAGACTGCCAGTGTGGTTTCAGGTCCGTGCAGTTACAGCTGCGTGGCTCAGCTCAAGGAATTTAGGTCAGCATTTCAGACAGATTTTGATCTGATTTTTGTTCCATCAGATTTTGATGCTTAAAAAAACAGATCCACGCTGAGACAATTCAGTGCAAGAGAAACAGGCTGCCTGCCGCACGTGTGCTGGGCGCGTGCAAGCAGCGCTTCAAACATTTATGGACCTCCAGGCATGTAAGGGAATTGCAAGTTATAAAGAACAAAATGGATTTCTGTCCTAGTGTAAACAGTCCTGGATGCCAACTTCAGGGCAAGTGACACTTCAAGTGACTACACGATCACACTATCCCTACATCCAAGAAGACTGAAGGTGCTCTCAGACTAAAATACCTGTGATAGCACAGAAATGGAAGATACCTCATCTTCCCCAGAGAGAAAGAGGAGGCTCCCTTCAGAGTCCCTTTCCTGCCACCAAGAGAAAGCAGAGGAAACCAGAAACCTCTGGTTGGATATCATTTAGTATATAATATACCATCTCCTTGCCAAAAGCAGATACCATTTTTCCCCAGTCATATTAATAAGACTGCAGTTTTCAAATCTAATATAAATCACAGGATTGAGGCTGCTTTTTCCCCATCACTCTGAGAAAAATATGGAAACTTTCTTAGATAGCAACTTCTGTCAGACTCCTAGTCCCATCAACATTATAACATCAAAGGTTACTATCATCTATTTATTACATTATCTTAAACTCTAATGTCTCCAGTCACTCGGGCTGTGCTGCCTTATAGCAACTATCTTTCATCATGGGTATGCTTTTAGTATTGAGGTATCATCCAATTACAGAAAAGAACAAATCCTCTGGGATAAGTGCAACGTTTTGCAAAAATAAACAAGGCAGAGTTGCTTTTCTTTTTTTGAAAAAACAGCAACAGGCACTCATCTGAGGCCATGCAAGCTTGGAACCAAGAACACTGTAAACAGAAGTTAGCACCTGCAGAAGAAAAAGATCTGCCCTTAGGGATGTGCCTAGCAAGAACTTTATTTCTGCTTTAATGTCTTAGGACAGCAGCCATTCTCAGTCTATGCTTAAAGTTCCCTTCCCTATTGCTAACCACTGAGTTCCTGCATGGCTTACCTGGAGGAATGTTTGCTCTCTTTCTCTTCTTGCTTGGGTCACCTCCATTCTCAGCTGGGCTTTCTGACACCCGAGGGCCAGCTGCATTACTGAACTGCAGAGGTTTGTTGTTATTGGCAGGATCAAAGGGCAGCTGATTTAAGCCTAAAAGAGAGAACACATTCAGAGACCTTCTTTAAATGAGTTTGTGATGCTTCAGGATAACAGTAATAAAAAAATAAATAATCATAAAAAAATAAAATGCCCAATATCAGATACAATAAGCCCTTCAGGCTGCTGGGACAAGCTTATTTTCCCCAGCTACATCTGATCTTAATATCACATTGAGGTATGTCTAAAACACTACTCACAGACATTACAGAATCACAGAACAGTTGATGTTGCAAGGGACATTCAGAGATCCTCAAGTCCAAATACCCCGCACAATGTTACCTAGACCACATTCTGGAAGGCTTCTGAACATCTCCCAAGGCCAAGGACTCCACAACACCTCTGGACAACCTATTCTAAGGCTCAGACAGCCTCACAGCAAAGAACTATTTCCTCATGTTCAGAAACAAATTCCTCTGTTTCAGTCTGTGTCCACTGGCTCTCTTTCTGTCACTGGGGTCCACTGAAGAGTCTGATCCTCTTAACATCCTCCCTTCATATGTTAATATGCACTAAGATCCCCCCCTCAGTCTTCTCTTCTCCAGCCTGAACAGGTTCAGCTCTATCAGCCTTTCTTCATAGGAGAGATATTCCAGGCCCTCAGTCATCTCAGCAGTCCCTTCACTGAACTTGCTCCCGTAGCTCCCTGCTCCTCTTGTCCCAGGGAACCCAGAATTGGACCTACTCCTCCAGACATGGCCTCACCAGGGCTGACTAACTAAGTCGCATGCCAGGGACTTAGTGTGCTGCTGGACTCTGTACTCTAGGCAAGACAAGGGTGACAGAAATTCTGCTGAAAATCCCACAGAGCAGGCTCAAGTCAAGCCACCAAAACGAATGCACTTCTAACTGTTTCGACACTGTCAGAAGAAATAAAAAGGGAACTTGAAAAAGCAACTTATTTTTAGCGCTACACCTAAACCTTGAAAGGGCAGATACTACAAGAAAGAATAATGTAAAACCAAAAAAAAGATTCTTACTCACAAGCCAGAGTAGGATTCAGCCAAGTAGTATCAACTGGTCTGCAGGAGAAGATCTGGCCACACTGGGCTGTCTTTACAACCAACCACCAAGCTACCTGCACAGTCTCAGCTTAAGAGCCCAATCCTTCTCTCCTCAAGGAGCACCTAAATTGA